ACCGTTACATTAGTGTAATAACATGCAGCTTGCTATACTTTTTTGTATTTCTTTGACTCTCCCCCATCTCCTCTCCCTATCATAGTTTGGTGGCGCTTTCCATCATTTGGATATGTCAAGATCAATATTGATGGTTGTGTTAAGGATAGGTTTGTAAGCGAGGGAGGCATCATCAAGGACTACGCAGGAAATTGTATCAGGGCTTCCTCAGCTTCATATGGACAATGTATGATATTACAGGCAGAACTTAGGGCTATTTGTGATGGGATACTATTGGCTAGAGAGCTTGGTTTGTCAGATATTTAGGTTGAGTAGAGGTGTCAATTCGGGTCGGCCCGCCAACATATGAGCCCGGTAACTACCCGCGTGAAAAAAGCTCACCCGCTACGAGTTCCCGGCCGGTTCCGAGTCGGCCCACAAATTTTGGACTACAACCCAAGCCCACCCGCTGACCCATGTGGGTCTAGCCCATGCAGGTCACCGGTCGCGCGGGTCGCGATTTGTTCCGATTTAGCCCGTATTATTGTATAAATAAAATTATAAAAATATAGAATTTTTCATATTTATACCAAAAAATATTTATTTTGTTAAATATAAACTAAAAATTGAACAAAATGATAAAGAAAAATGCTAAATGTACATAATTATTGTACATAAGAGTGTACATAACCCTCACATGGGGTGTGGTCCACAAAAATGTGGGCTCCACCCCATGTGAGGGTTATGGATACCCCTATTTACAATAATTATGTACACCAAGTAAAGTCCAATGATAAATTCATATTTATATCAAAAAATGTTTACATAGGATTCAAATTTAATGTTACACGAATTATTTATAACTTTGCAAAGTTAAATTTAATTTAAACAAGTAACAACTAAATGCATTTCTAATTATTATTTTCAAATATTTATAGTATAAGTACATCCCAACTAGATTGGCACCTACGATTTTAACATTAATAGCATTAGTATAGCCAACACACGATTTTAACATTAAAAAAGTCGAATTCCATCTATTAGGAATATCATCAACAAATTTTCTTTCCCCCATTTTTTTTCAAAATTTTAAATTTTTTTTTCACGGGCCAGTGGGTTAATAGCGACCCGTGAAGGTCTAACCTGCGAAGCCCGCGGGTCACACCTCCTTGACCCGTGAACCGTCCGCTCGGGTCACGAGTCAGCCCGCGGTCCTAGGTCAATCCGGGCCGATTTTCACGGGTCTAGCCGGCCCGTCCGTCTTGACACCTCTAAGGTTGAGGCAGATTCGACTGTTGCCATTCACTGCATCACTAGATGTGGCGGACCGTGGCCTATACAGGGGATATTCAGACAGATTGCAGATATCGTTTCATCTGACAGAGATATGATCTTCCACATCTTCAGAGAAGGGAACCAAGTTACAGATGCACTTTGCTTTTACTTTTAGTTTTTGATTTAACTTGTTCTTTTTGTAAGGAAAGTAGTACTTCCTTATTTATTGATTTCATTGATATCATTTGTAACCACGGTATTCCTCCACCACAAGTGAGGACATATTAATAAAATTTCGGATGTACCACCATCCTTCCACCAAAAAAGAAAAGTACATTCCATGTAAAGTGTAACATCATAGTGTTCATTCAAATAGTGTCATCAACTACAATCACTGGTCTACAGTACTCCCATCCTCTAGTTGATGCACCTAGAGCCATGAAGTAATATTTGAACCTATTGTGACCATCAAACTCCAGTCCTATGACCATACCAGGATCTGTTTAATGAAGCATAGAAAATAAGCTTGGTATCTTCATGAATGAATCTTGGATCACTCCTAATCATTTTCAGCCTCTGTTTGAGCCTCATTCTCTCTTTTTTTCTCATTATTTTTTTTACAGTACTCATTTTCCACTATACCTTCTTAATTAAAATAATATTACAAGCACATCAAAAAAAATTTCTTTATTTTTATCAAAACATTCTCTATCAATCTATTATACTTTTTTTCTCATTATTTTTTTTACAGTACTCATTTTAAACCACACATTTTTCATTAAAATAATCTTACACGTAAATCAAAAAAATTTCCTTCTTTTTTAACCACACATTCTTCCATCAATCACATTCCAAAAATTAAAATTTCCCCAAAATGGGGGCCAAACACACTCTCAATGTTTTCTCTCGAGATCTCCAAGCCTTTGCATAGTTAAGTGAAACTCCATAGGTATGTAACATGTTATTACACATATCGTTTGGAGTGTAAATGGTCTGTTATGAAGCGTACTTGTATTTGATATAAGACGACACAACTGATGTTGATACTTGCTTATGAGATCCTAATACTATATTTAAAGCACATGTGTAACCATCTGCCATCTTTCTATTCTTAAACATTTGTGCTGCCCCCAAATTTGTGATTTGTATATCCAATTGCACTCATCTTGTAAACGCATGACAAGATATTCTTTCTTATCTGAATGAACAATCATAAATTCAAACATATTTTGTATTGTAAAAAAAGACAAGATCAATTTTAGAATTTCTTTTTTACGGAAAACTCTTCCCTTTTATACTTCCATTCCATCAACAATGGATACAACTGTGACTTCATGTTCAAAATTGTGACCTGAGGGTTCTATTGTTGCCTCGCAAATGTCTGATAACATATCTAGTAATGAAAACATATCTCCACTAGATTGTACATCAACTAGAACAGTGAATGATTGTTCTCCACTTTCTTCATTTGTGACCTCAACGTTTATGGGATATTTCGAAGGGTTACGATCCATGTCCTTCAGCATCAAGTAGACAACACATTACTGTCACTCTTTATTTTGATTGGAAGTAGATCACTGTTCAATACATACTTCATTGTGACAGCCACCTTAGTTTGATCAAAATCAAACTCGGTCATAACGGTGTTTACAAGCTTCACATAACAACAATTGCGATCAACCAACATCAATGATACTTGTAATCCATTCATCAAACAAACATGCACATATCCTCATTTTTACAAATTCTCACGAAAAAAATATCAGTTTCAAATACCAATGCAATTCACGATTAATGCACGTTACTGATCGCATTACAAGTCACATAATGAAGTACTGCATATAACACTACCTTTATAAAACGTCACAGTATGAAATCATGTAAGTCATAGTATCTTATTACAAGTCACATAACTAAGACTAATGATCACATTCATTTTATACATTATCTTCCATCAAACTGTTTAGATATAAGTCATGGGATTCATTCAGGACCACATATTTTAAATACATGTCACATAAATCATGTATTTCAGAAAATTCGATGGTATATGAAAGTGACTAATTACACAAATTCTTCTAAGGTCACCATTACCAATACAATTCACAACGAATCAAAGTCACAAACATAAATTTCGAAAACCAAGCGTAACATACCAATTGGATTTTGCTATTGGTTCAATATTAGTCACAATGACTACCAAAGCATTCAACTCCGTTCAAAAAATTCAAAAATTGTGAGTTGCTCAATTCAAACATTTAATTATCTACCAATTGTGTCTACAACAGCATTCAGATCCAAAATCGAAGCCATTGAATATGAATTCAATACAGCACATCTACAATTTTATCTGCAGTCATCAATAATTATCGATTTTTGACTATATTCTTCAATTTGTAACCTGAGATCTTCGATTGTTATCAATCTCAAAGATACCAACGACAGTAGATGATATATATTGGGTGATGAATTTGTGGTTTAGGGATGAAAATATGTATTTTATGGAGTCCGGTCACAGATGGAAATTAGATGGTTAATTTCAGGGATTAGATCTTAACATGATTGTATATAGATAGAAAATTTTCTGAATTTTGAAATTGGAAATATATTCTCTTAAAACTGAAATGAAGTATAGTTAATATCGTGTTATAAGTTTTTTCCAATTAATAATTTAATTAGACTTCTACCATGCAGTGTATTCATTTTGATGTTGAGGCCCTAGGTCAATGACCTAATTTACATTGGCTTAGGGCCAGTCCTAACGAGAATTTTCATTAGTTAAAATTAAGGAGAATATCTATATTATTTTTCATTCGTCCAAGTTTTGTCCCATTTAATTTTCTTTTCAAGATTTTAATGAGGCAACATTTGATTAATCCAAAAAAAGTTTATAAGTAATTGTATTCTTTCTCCCTTTGTTTGGTATTTTTATTCCATTGGATTTTTGCCAAATCATATTTTTAACTAGAAAGTTATTGTGTAAATAGTATTCGAGGGATAACTAATCTTATTGAAATCTATATATAGAGATTATTATTTTACCAAAATTACACACTTTATCTCTAATCATCTTCTATTTCTTTTTCTTATTCTCTTAGTTTCATAACAACATTATGAATTTCATAATAAACGTATTAAAATTTTGGGATAATTGTAGCAAAAGTGTCAAATCTTTGAAACATTAGCAGACTTTTCCCAAACCTTTAACTTGTTGCAGCCGTCACCCCTAACATTTTCAAATGTTGCAGGTGAAGTCCTTTTGATCAGTTGACAAAAAATTTAACTTTGACCACATTTTTAATATTTTAAAAATGGACAAAATAGTAAATTTTCATTTATCACATTAAATAATTAAATAAAAAATAAAAAAAACCACGCATACAACTGCGGGTCTGCCGGGTGGTGTGGGAATTAGTTTGAGTTTCCGATGAAACCATCATCAACAAGAGAGGGAAACTAACCACAAAAGAATTATGGGCTGACTTCTATACAATTTTCGAGTTCTGGGGCTTCAATTCCTTTAATGGCAAAGATCCACAAGCCATCAACAAGCCCAAGAAATTCAACAAATGTGAGTTTTTCTCTCTGTGTTTTGTGTATGTATACATGTATATTTATAAATCTTTGTCATTTATGTACATACAGCACATAGAAATACATCCGAGATGGAAGTATAAATTAAGGTTTTTCTGTGTAGGGACAAATGATAAGGCCGAATAGAAAAACTTTCCAAGGCCAGGAAGAATATGTATAGAGGCATAGGGCAAAGGCCATGGGGGGAATGGGCGACAGAAATTCGTGACTTGAAAAAAGGTGTCCGAGTCTGGCTCGGAACCTTCTGCACAGCTGAGGAAGCAGCCAAGGCCTATGATGACGCCTCCAAGAGAATCCGTGGAGATAAGACAAAACTTAACTTTTCCAACAATCTAGCACCGTCGACTCCGCCACCCCATCCGGTTCAGCCACCAGCCAAGTGACTGTGTGTCAATCCTAAGCCAAACTCTTTCATGGATTACGGGATTCAAACTACCCAACAACAAGAAGTTTACTACCCAACCGAGGCGGTGGCTAGTCAATCTTTTACATTGAAGGATGAAATTTCGAGCTTGGAATCGTTATTGGGATTCGAACCAGCTGAGCTACCTTAGTTTGTCAACACTGAGTAAGATGACTCGGTTGATCTTCTTTCCTATAGAACCAAAGAATCCTCAAATCATGGGGCATTTGGGTTTAAGTTTGCGGGGGAGATGGAGGTAGAGGTAGCGGTGGTAGGTGTAGATTTTGGGTTTGAGGTGGGGGTGGGTGAGGATTGAGAGGAAGAAGACGCTAATGTGTGTGTTCTTTTTATTTCTTATTTTTTATTTAATTATTTAATTTGATGGAAAGTTACTCTTTTGTCCCCTTTTTAAAATATTAAAAATGTGGTCAAAATTAATTTTTTTGTCAGCTGGCAAAATTGTGGATGAAAACTGTCTAAATGGGCTTCACCTGCAATATTTGGAAATGTTATGAGTGACAACTGCAACAAATCAACAGTTTGGGGAAAGTTTGCTAATATTTCAAATATTTGAAGTTTTTCTTGCAATTATCCCTAAAATTTGAAAGCATAATCACATAGAAGATATAATAAATATTTCTTATCAAGACACTTCCTAGAGTTCACTTTAATAACTCGAGTCATGCTACATAGACATAATGGTTGACATAATTTTTTACATAATATCACATGAAAACATATTATTGGACAGTTTGAAACACGGTCAACTTTTTTATCAAATCACATCTTATCAACACAGATTATGTCATATATTTTCTGGCAAAGTAACGTTATTCTAATAACTTTGCTCAAAACCTAGGAAGTTGTATGGTCGGACCCTAGGAACTCAATTTTCTAACAAATTTGTGGCTCATTAAAGCAATAACCCAAACATATACCTCAATAGAATTGAAACAATTAAAAAACATAAAGAAAAATTAATCAAGATTCATGAATATGATTGAGTAGGTTTGTTTTCATGTAAATCTACTTACATCATAGATTTAATCACAGATTTCGTCCCATCCCCTGTTTAAGCCTCATTTTTGGTTAAAAATGTGGATTGAAATAATGATTTTTTCGAAAAATGTGTGGTTTAAAAAGATGAAAAAAATTAAATTTACGTATAAAATTATTTTATAGGAGAATGTGTGATTGAAAATTAGTTTTGAAAAATAAGTTTTGAAAGAAGGGAGGCCAAGCATAAGCTCAATCTCACTTATAGGATCATAAAAAAATGGGGTTTTTGCTTAAAAAGCCTAGTCAACAATACTTATTGGTAAAATAGTCCATCTCAATAGTTTTTGTTCCAATAGCCTTTGGTCTATAAAATCATACATTAAAAGTCTTAAATACCCTTCAATTGAAATGTCTAAAATATCCAATTTGAAATAAAAATTTACCAAATCCCTCAAACATGAATCCATAGCTTCACAAAGGGTTTTAATTCTCCATGAGTTTTTTGAGCCAAAGAGGAGAAGAATGGTGTATGGGGGCCTCCTCCATATGTATTCTGCTGTTAAGTATTTGTAAGAGTCGGAAATTGGATGAAAATCACGTCCAAATTAGTTTCCAAAAGAGTTCTAATCGAATAAGGAAAGTTGCTTTCGCGCGCAGATTTTTTTACATTTGCATAGCAGTCAGTAATGTGGTTATAACTTTCTCTTCTAATATCCAATTCAGACGATTCAAAATGAGTTATAACGATAACTCAAAGAGCTACAACTTTGTTGGAATTATATATTTTCCAATTCGAACTTTTACTATATAAAAAATGGGTCTCAATCTTCGAATAAAAATCTGGAATATATTTTGTGCGAATTAAAAATTGATTTTGATAATATTTCATTCATTTTTGACTTCTAATTGCTTTCAGTTGACCCTTAGCACTCTCGAACCTTCATCGTGAGCCCCGACATAATTTTTCATTATTTTCACTTTAGTCCCTGAATTTTCACTTTCTTCCATTTTGGTCATTTTTCACTTGTTTCTCCTTGTTTCTGCTACATTCATCACTTGTCCTACAAAACATGAATTGCATAAAATCAAGCTATATTTCAACATATTAATCAACAATTGCTCATATTTTGACAGTAAAATAAATATGTAAAAACGTACTTATCAGGAGATCAATGAAGTTTTCGTGGATGAGATGCTCTTTTAGATTATCACTATGCCAGGGTACACAGATTACATGAACTATTTGGCTCATTCTATCATCACACCGGAATACTCGAGTCATGAGAAGAAGAAATTATTCAATAACTAGAAACACTACTTTTGGGATGATTTGTTTCTTTATAGAATGGTTCCAGATCAAATTATACTCCATTGTGTGCCGGAAGGAAAGTACCATCAAGTGTTGGAATCTTGCCAGTCTACACCATATGAAGGTCACTTCGAAGCAATCAAGACAGCAACAAAGATACTACAATCAGATTTTTATTGGCCTACGTTGTTTAATGATGCACATTATATGGTAAAAAATTTTAATAAGTGACAAATGATCGGAAACATCTTAAGGAGGAACAAGATGCTCCTAAACAGTATTTTGGAAGTTGACATATTCGATGTTTAGGGCATTGACTTCATGGGACCATTTCTTTCTTCATATGATCAACAGTACATATTAGTGACAATGGATTACGTGTCCAAGTGGGTAGAGGTTGTAGCTTTGCCAACCAATGGCAGTCGGATGGTGAGTTAAAAAGAACATTTTTACGAGATATGGCACCCCGAGGGTGATTATTAATAATGGTGGGAAATATTTTGCAACCACCTATTTGCTTCGTTGTTGGCTAAATATGGAGTGAAACACCGTGTCTCGACCCCATATCATACTCAAACTAGTGATCAGGTAGAAATCTCCAATGGGGAGTTGAAGAAGATCCTCGAGGCTACAGTTAATGCATTACATAAAGATTGGAAAAAAAAAACTAAATGATGCATTTTGGGCATATGGAACAACATATAAGACTCCAATTGGTATGTCTCCATATATGCTGGTATTTGGAAAGTTTTGTCATCTATCGGTTGAGCTAGAGCACAAAGTATATTGGGTAATATATTTGCTCAATTTCAATATGATTACACCAGGAAAAAATAGGGTTCTTCAACTTCATGAACTCGATAAGTTTCGATTGGATTCATATGAGAATGTAAAGATTTACAAGGAAAAGACCAAGAGATGACATGATAAGCATATAAGGGAGAAGGAGTTTGATGTTGTTCAGCTAGTATTGATGTTCAATTCACGTCTCATGCTCTTTCCGGGAAAGCTAAATGGACAACGATTGAAAGTTTATTGGGTAGGCGACTACTCCAATCGTGCTACATAATAATGCAGACTAGCCTGAGTAACAAAGTCAAGCGCTTATTGGGAGGCTTTCTTCCATTTTATTTATTCAGGTTTGATGCATTAGATTATGATTTTTATTGCTTTGGTTTGTGAATGTAGATTAGGCTTCATTCATCCATCACATTGGTCACAAGAATCTTGCATGTGTTCACATAAGTTTCAATTATGTTTGCATGAGTTTGGGAGTGTTACAATTATAATTATGTGATTGGGATTGAAAATCACATTTTTGGAGGAAACATCGAGATTTTTGGAGCATTGAACGATAAAGAGTATGCTAGTCGAAAAATTTGAATCTCATCAAATTTTTAAGCTTCATACCAATTTTACACCCTTCATACATCATTTGGAAGTGTTCATAGCATGTTGGAGTTAGAAACACACTTTACATCTTTAAAAACAATGTTGGACGAAAACAAAATGAAGTTTGGGAAAGTCAGGAGGGTCAAATGAAAAAGAAAAAGAGAAAAAAAATTCTAGGGAGATTTCCCTGCTGGTAAACCGAGGCACGTGCCCTAGCCTGTAAGTCAAGCGTGCAATGCGCCTCACTGTCGGTTTGGAGATTTTTAATCCACAAACAGGCCACAATCCCCACACAACCCCCACCATTTTTCTCTCCATCTCACTCAGTTTCTACTATCACCCCTATTCTTCCACACACATTCACTTGGGCATTAACCAATTAGGGCATTTTCACATCTCCCTCCTTGGATTTATCACTTCCATCCATTAAATTTCAAGATATCAAGGTAATATGCCCCCCTCAAGTTTCAACCTTTTATGTGATTTTCATAATAACTTCGGATTTTATTGGTGATTGGGGTATCAAATTGGTGGAAGGGCTTAGGTAATGATTGGATTTAGTGGTGCCATTGTGATTTTTGGGACTTTCACTCCCTTCATAGGCATTCTTGGAGTATGGTTACACTTCCTGCCCACCAAGTGTTCCTTAAAATGTCAATATGGAGTATTTGTTTTAATTAGTGCACCAAACTCACCCAACACCCTTAGTTCACTTAGATAATCACTTCCGCACACTCGCATTCATGTTTGAAACATGTTTGGCATAAAATTGGAACACATAGTGCATAAAATTGGGAGAGACACAAACTTTAGCATGTGTCTTCTGCGTCGCTAAACTATGGTTGCCTTTTGCAGATGCAACCCTATATTATGTTTCCCTTGTGTTATGCTTGCATCCTCTCATATTTGATATTTGCATTCCATGCATTTGGCCATAATTATCCATGTCCTATACCCTCTAGTTCTATCATGTTGGTCACTTTTATTTTACATTTGGACTAATGTTTTCTTCTATTTTTTACAGGACACTGCCAAAATGACAATGTGAGGCCTCTACATCCAAGGAAAGAAAAGACTAGCACATCACCACTAGGACACGTACGCGCGTCAACGGGCAACATGAGACGATCCCTTAGTGCAGAATACAAAAGACTCTATGATCAGGTATTATAGAGGAGGAAAATGTGGCCAGAGAGGCAAGTTGTTCTGGGCGATTTCGAAGGTTATGAGATATCTACTCTTATCGATCGAGCATGGTGGGCATGAGTGATAGAGA